GGGGTGCTGGCTTCACTACTTTGGCCCCTCTGGGATGTGCAGTCACAGGGGAGCTGTTATGTCCATTCATGTGCAGCCCACGGGCCAAATACCATTTTGTTCTGTCACTGAGTCATCTTTCTGGGGACAAGGAGACCTGGATTAGGGAGTTTCGCCTCTAGTTAGTTCTTTCTGTGGAGATGCCTCATTCTATAACTGGAGAAGCTCACCTCCAACATTGTCCCCTCCAGACCAATGGGAAACCATTGCTCCAATCAGCATCTCTGCCAAAATAAACAAAAATAAGAAATCAACAGCTTCCCAGAGAAGCCAAAAGTGCATTTTTTGTGTGCCTTTATCCAATCCCCAACCTGCTCTCACCGTCATCTTTGTAAAACACAGACAGCTTAAAAGTTTTTATTTTGGGGGATTTTAAAAAGATGTATCTGACATGCAACATTGTGTAAGTTTAAGGTGATGCATTATTATTGCAATACGGTTGCCACTGTAGCATTAGCGAGCACCTCTGCGCCATCCCATAATTATGATTTCTTCCAGCATTGGGAACAATTACGATCTACTCTCTTAATTGTTACTGTAATAATTTTGTTGTCTAGAATCGCTGTACTGTGTATTAGATTTCCAGGACTTATTTATCTAGTAGTTGCAAGTATGAACCCTTAAACAAGATCTCTCCCATTTCCTGTTTTGGGGATTTCTTTAAAGTAAACACAGAATTGGAAGAGTTCAGTCAACCCAGGTGCCCGTCACCAGCTTCCACAGCGACCATCTTCTGGTGGGTCTTGTGTCACTGACACCCTCTTCCAGCCTCCTGTGTTACTTTGAAACAAATCTCCAGGAGCCTCTTGACATGTTGTCCTGACTCCCCTTTGCACTAATGTCTTGATTCTGTGTATTTCGTTTCAGATAATTGCCTTTGATGAGTTAAGAACAGACTTTAAGAGCCCCATAGACCAGTGCAACCCTGTTCATGCGGTAAGTAGAGGTGCCTGTGGCGGTTAAGGGCAGTGTCACAGCCTCGGGCCTGGGAAGGAGGGTGAGGCTTCAGTGAGGCGGATGAGGGAAGAACATTCTCCACCCTGTCTGTACCTGCGTGCCTGCCTCAAGGTTGTTGAGGAGACTTCTTGTTCTCGAGGCCTGCTGAGGTCTTGATTTCTCTTGCAAGTCAAATATGGCAGTCGCAATAGCCCAGGTGGGAAGGGTCTGCGGGGCTGTGGCTGTTGAGCCCTCAAGGCCTCGTGTTAGTGTGTTTGGTTACTCCCCCTTGAACCAGGAGAGCTCCGTGTTGTCCCCATGTTGGGCAGGTATAGAAGCGTCATTAGTGGTCGGCCCCACTCTCGTAGGGTGGGTTGATGTACAAAGCTCCTAGCCCCCTAGCCACCACCTGGGAAGCGTTCATCTGGAGCTCTGTGGGCCCGAGGCCTCCCACTGGGGAATCTCATGGAGTCTGGTGGTCTGGTCCGGGTTCAGCACGGGCTGTTCCCAGAGTCTTACTGCCCGCCCTGCCCGGGATGGGTGTAGACAGAGGCATGAATACAGGGGAAGGAAGACAGCACTTGTATTGAGTGGATGGGTAGGATGAGCACCAGTCCCACAGGAGCTTCTCTGAACAGCCAGGCCAGACCAGGACCTGCACACAGTAGGCACTCAGTAACTACGTGCCGATGAAAGAATGAATGAATATTGAAGGGCGGAGCTGGGTCTCAGCGCTTTACTCCTATTATTAAAGCTACACTTGTAATTAGTTAAGGAGCTAATTAAGTGGCCTGGGCTCTGAAGGCCAGACATCTTGTGGACAGATTGTAGCCACTGGGGAAAGACTCTTGTCTGGGATTTAAAAACAATCCATAAAAACCCTAAATGGAGGGATATTAGACACATTTTCCCAGTTCTTATGATGTTCCTCCCTGGCAGGAAGTTAAACGCTCTGGATGCCTCATTAACTCATCTTCAAGCCCTTCAGGCCTCTGAGGGCCCCTGCAGTGGCGTTTCAGGGCCAGGTGGCTTGAAATAGCTACCTCTCTGGTTGGTAACATCAGCCCCGAAAGGACTTGTTAAAACTAATTGCCCAACGGGAGGATGTGTTTCTAAATGAGCGTGCACGGGGCCTGCTGGTTCTCTGAGCTTCAGACCCCCGACCTCTGGGTGGACCCCTCCCAGGAGGTGGAAAGAGGAGGGATGCTCTGTTTTATTCCTAGTTTCTCTCATTTACCCTCCCCTTCCGTGTGCCACCTGGGCATCTAGTCTCACTGTAACGCAATAAGAGGTGGCCTTCTGAGGATCCAGCTGGCTGGGGAAGGGGCTAGTGTGTGTCCTGTGCCACCCGATCTCGTGCCTGGCATCCCACACCTTTGCCCACCATTCTCCTTTTAGGCAGCCTTGGTGCCCTGCTCTGTGTGTATGTTTGCGTGTGCACATTGCATGTGTGCACACGTGTTGAGGAGGACATGGTCTCTCTTCCTAGCCCTGTGGACACCAGTTTGTCTTGATGTGGGCTCTTTGCTCTGGGCTTAAGGGATGCACAGGAATCACTATATTTAAGATTCAGTTAGGGAAAGTGAAGTGTCCCAGCCACCTGTCTTCTCCAGACCCCTGAGCATTCTCATTGCCATCCCATCTATGGCAACCACATGGCTTTGGTAATGAGTGAAGCACCAGGAGAGGCCACAGCTGTGCTCACTGTGGCTTCAGAAACCAAGAAAGTCACTGCTGGGAAGGGGAGGCCACACTGAGTGTGTCACTCGAGCAATGCCCAGCATCTTCCTTCAGCAGCAAGCCAGGCCCTGGAGATGAACTTGGACGTCTTGAAGTCTTAGCCCAAGGGCACTGCTGGTGCCTAATTTAGCGGGGAGATTGCTTCCTTTAAATATACTCACTCTAGAAAAATAAGGCCAATGGCCAGAGAACTTCCATTCCTTAGACACTAGTCAGGGCACATATGCTCTTTGATGCCCGAGTGGGAAGTCCTCCCGGGAGGCCTGACTGCAGGCTTTGGGACATGCAGTGAACATGTGCTGCCTGGTCAGCAGTGGGACCATCTTACAGGTACATGGAGGCTAAGAGAGGAGAGACTGTGCCTGTAGAAAAAGTACAGGCACCTCTCCTGGCTGAGAGGGGGGCTGAGCCACACTGTTTGCTGGTATATTTCTTCTAGGAGCAAATGACTGAGACAAGATAAATGGAAAAACTCTGGTTAGGAAG